GCTCTGCACAAAAAAAAACCTCCTTGGAAGTACATTTGAGAAATACAAGCTCTTCTTTCTTGCAAAGAATAGAGATATATTAATGGCTTTATTTTTAGTGTTGCAATGCTCTCTTGATATATCAGCATTCCAATTATAACTGACAGTTACATGGAGGGATAAATTCTCACTCAGATTGTTAGATTTGAAATGCATGCACATTGCATCGTATTTTCATTGTATCCCAGATTTGGAAAGCCCGCAAAACCTTTATTCTGCCTTTGAACCTCTTGATCTTCTTCCTGTGTCCTGACAGGGAATTTGGTGAGAAGTTGTTGTTTTTTTGGTTGTATGGTTGCCTCCCCCAATGTAGTGTCCTATTATCCCCAACTAGCATGCCCATGGTGGCTGAAGATAATAAGATCCATAGTGTAATCTAGGTAGTGCTTGGCTGGGGAAAGCTGTTTTATGGGGCTGCCCATTTTTTCCCCTCTCTCTCTCAGCTGCACAATGATTAAGGAGTGCTTTTATGCTCTGAAATCTTTGGCTTGGCCTTTCTTGAGCACTGAGACGTTGCGGAAGAGTCTGGAGGGAGGTGTGTTGGAGAGACTTAAAGGCAGCCAAACCCTACCTGAAGGGTTCCTTGATTGGTTTAATGCTGATTTCTGCTTTGTAACAAATGGGAACTGACATCTGGCCGCTTAGGAGATCCAGCCCCATCTTGCTGATTTCTGCTTTGTAACAAATGGGAAGTAGTTGCACTAGGAACTGACATCTGGCCGCTGAGGAGATCCAGCCCCATCCTCTGAGGGAAACTAGGAATATGGAAAGGAGAACAGCTAAGGAACTTTCTTGGAAGACTCAGAGCCTTGGTGCCTTCCCAATGCAAAATGGCCTTCTTACAAAATATACAGGGTGCTGCTTGCAGATGGGCAGCTCCGAGTCATATCAGTCAAAACAGTTGTTGCAACTCTTCCAGTTCTCCTTCAGATGTGGTTGAGGCCATTACATTTTCCAGATGTGTGATCAGAGCAAAACGTTATTTTTAAGAAGTATGTATATGATATACTGACGCTATCTATATCTCAGTAATGTGGGTCCTGAAGACTCATCCTATCACTGTTCTCTTCTTCTTCTTCTTCTTCTTCTTCTTCTTCTTCTTCTTCTTCTTCTTCTTCTTCTTCTTCTTCTTCTTCTTCTTCTTCGCAAAAGCCAAACCCCGCTTTTAAAGCTGCCGTTGCTTTTCACTGCTCCACTCTGAAAGGTGCTATGACTCTGGGAATGGTAGGCAACATGTGGCCTCCCAGATGTTGTTGTACAACTCTTGGCATTCCTCCTCATTTGCTCTGTTCTCTAGGCTTGATGAGAGCTGCAGGCCTATAACATCTGGAGGGCCACATGTTCCCCAGACAGACTTGAACATTAGTTCTAGCTGAATTCAGTACAAGCCGCTCATGCCATTAGTATTTCTCATTGATTTCTGTGGGAAATAAGGTCAATTAACTCAGTCCAGATCCAACCCAATAAGAATAAGGAGGAAGCATTCCCAGCCTTGAGACATTCTCTTTATATCTGATCCTGTTTGGGGAACATTTCCTGATGGGTGGGAGACAGTCTCAGTGCAGTGTATTTGGGAAAGCAGCAGAAAGCATCCCAAAAAGGTAGTAATTATTCTATGTCAGGCATGATCATTCAATCACATCTGACACAGATATTTGCAAAGTCAGTCATCCCAAAGGAAGCAAATTGCAGGAGACGTTGAGAAGCAGGAGCAGTAAATCATAGAGAGATGCAATAGGCAACCTCCTTTGAGGTCACTGGAGCTTTTAGTGATTTGATTGACATCTGATTGTGTGCATGCAGTTTTCTGTCATGACACACATTGGGAATTACTTCTTGATTGGCTTAGGGCCAAGCTATATGTAGAGCAGTAAATGCAGAACTGGCTCACCCAATGTCTCTATTGATGGTTTTCTTAATAGGAACTTAAAGTATTCTCAAAGGCTTTCATGGCTGGGATCCGATGGTTGCTGAAGGTTTTTCGGGCTGTTTGGCTGTGTTCCGAAGGTTTTTCTTCCTAATGTTTCACCAGTCTCTGTGGCTGGCATCTTTGGTGGACAGGGGTTAGAACACAGACAGAGTTCTGACTCCTGTCCTCTGAAGTTGCCAGCCACAGAGACTGGCAAAACGTTGGGAAGAAAAACCTTCGGAATATGGCCAAACAGCCTGAAAAGCCTACAACAACCGTAGGAACTTAAAGGTTTAAGGCCCCTGAATTATTGGATGAGGAAATAGAACTGGAGCGGGGAACAAATCTTGCTGTAAAAGGTATAATGACCCTCTTACTGTGCTGCTCAGAAAATGTGAAATTCTTTAAAACCACACACACATGCTTAAGGTATTATCTTGTGTAAGTGTCTTTGGGTGCAAAAAATGACATAGGACATGGGCATAGAAGGTGGCCTTTGCTTATGGGGAAAAGTTACTGAGGCATGCTTGAGCAGAGGTTACAAAAATTAATTTTTTGAACTGTAATTCCAAGAATGCTACAGGCAGCGTGACTACTACAATGCTAGCTAGACGTTTCTGAAAGTTATACCATATTTTTCGCTCCATAAGACACACCTTTCCATAAGACGCACCAATTTTTTTAGGAGAAGAAAACAGGAAAATATAATCTGTTTTCTTCGCTCCATAAGACGCACAGGCTTTCCACCCCGCCTGTTTTGTGGGGAAAAAATGCGTCTTATGGTGCGAAAAATACGGTACTTTTAAAATGTAACTTTTCCAAGGCCTGTACATGAAGGGGTTCTGTCCTCCACTGTTCTCATTAAGAAAGTTTCCTTTCTCAAGGTTTTCAATCCAACCATCCCTCCCCCCCAGCTTCCCCTCCTCTTCAAACCTCTGTCACAGATACCCTTAAACGCTCTCTCCTGTAGGTGTATGAAAGTGTTAAGGTAGATTAAATGGGTGGTGTGCAGAAGATCTCATCCATAATGAATAAGATAATCACTCAGCCACAGTGGGAGCAAAGCTAGAGTTGCTGGGGCTGGCTGGTGTGGTGGAATTGGGGGTGGGTGGGGGAGGTATCTGAGTGCCCATAAGCACTGCCAACAACGGTGAGTGAATGGTTTAAACCTTAGGTCACCCAGACTCAGGAGGCTGGCAGGAGTCTCGGGGAATTACTGTGCTTCTCCTGTTCTTCAGATGGGGAGACAAATCTTGGAGCAAGTTGTGTACAGCCTAGAAAAACTCCATGCTGGCTGGTGGATTGTGGGTAAGGTAAAGGTTCCCCTTGACATTTAGTCCAGTCGTGTCCGACTCTAGGGTGCGCAGTGCTCATCCCCGTCTCCAAGCCATAGAGCCAGCGTTTGTCTGAAGACAGTTTCTGTGGTCACGTGACCAGCACGAGTAGACACGGAATGCCATTACCTTCCCACCAAGGTGGTACCTATTTATCTACTCGCATTTTTACATGCTTTTGAACTGCTAGGTTGGCAGGAGCTGGGACAGGCAACGGGAGCTCACTCGATCTCATGGATTCGATCTTACGACTGCTGGTCTTCTGTCCTTGCAGCACAGAGGCTTCTGCGATTTAACCTGCAGCGCCACCATGTCTGTCTAATTTTGGGAGTTGTAGCCAAAAAAAAGAGCAACCCTTTTAAGTTCTGAAGCGTGCCACACTTCTGTTAAATGTTGTACCTGTACATAATAGCAATATGTGTTCAAAACACTTGATGGTTTTCTGTCTGTCTGCCTGCCTACCTGCCTGCCTATCTATCTGTGTCTTTTAAAGCCTTAAAAAAACTGCTTGGAGTTGTTGGAGACTGCATTTACCACTGTGACAGGGATGGGATAAAAGTGAATTAATAAAAATAAAATGAGAAACAGTGGGAAAGACTGAAATGCTTCTCTCTGTGTTAAAAGACTAGTTTCATACAGGCGGCTTCATCTGGAACTGCTTTTCTCTATTCAGTCCTTTTCATAAAGAGCCTATACCCCAGCATTGCAGGAATATTGCGACCTAATGCTTTCCATGTAGTCTTCCGATAACTTTTCCCCTCAAAGCTGATTTGCAGGAACTTTTCTTTTTTCTCAACAAAAGGTCAAGTCTGTTAAGCACCAGAAACAAAGAACTGAAGTTAAAAAAACAAAAACTATTGTGCCATCAATTAAAAGCTTCTTCCTTTCATATGCCTTCCAGTTTAAAATGACTAGGGGATAAAATATGAATTCTTCTGTAATTAGCTAAATGTTCTTTTTTGCCTGAAAGGCTAGGGGTGATTACTATATTACTTTCAATTTTTTAAACTATAAATGGAACCAAATGCTAAAAGGCAACTTATAATTAAAGTTCCCTCCCTGTGGGATAGGAAGCTGATTAATTAAGTAGCAATTCTTAAACAAGTTGCATCAAACATGAAGGAATAAAATAGTCAGAGGTTGCCAGGAAGCTACTAATTAATGTTGCAGAGGACTTTTCTTGAACAGGATTTACTTCTTGGTAATTGTTGGAGAATGATCTTGGCCACGGGGAAAGTGAATTGCTGAATAGTATAATGCTATATTAAATGTCACATGGCATCACCATTTTAATTCTGCTTCCAGTTAATTGGGGAAAGGCAATGATTTGGCTGTGATAAAAGGCACAAGCATGATAAAACTGAAATATCTGCTAACCAGCCTCTGTGCATCTGAGATTCATGACAGTGATTCTGTATCCAGAAGGCAGTGATTTTCATGTAATCATGCTATAGTTTTGTGGAAGTAAAAAGGCATATAGGTTTACTGCATTTTGCACACTCTATATTCTCCAGGTTACTAGGGTAAAGAAGAACCTGGGTGAACAAGTATATGAAAATTTAGATGCTATACATGTGCCAAATGAAAACCTGTGGTTGACACACTGCCTGTGCATTTTGCCATAGCGCATGCCTTTTACTGTATTGCTTCATAGGTAAATCACTCTTAATATTAGTTGACTTCTAATATACATATAAACAATCAGAAAATCCTAAAAGAATAAAATAAGCATTCTCAAGCAAGTATCAAGTTGTAACATTCACTTGTAGAGACTGTGCAGCAGGCAATGAATCCCGTCCTTCTATGTATGCCAAAGGGCACGACATAATGAGGGGCAGCAATTTATTTTTTGCTCTAAAGGAGTCATCTGGTTCTGTAAGACAAACAATACAGGTGATTATCCCAATTTTAAAGAAGTACTGTACCAGTATGATTTTTAAGATTCATTTGGAAATGATGACATTTAGATTCTTGCAATGCATGTGTGTGTGTGTGTGTGTGTGTGTGTGTGTGTGAGAGAG